ATGCAGATTGGGCTGGATGCCCCGACACATGCCACTCCACTACTGGGTGGTGTGTCTTCATGGGTGATTCTCTAATTTCATGGAAATCCAAGTCCTCTATGGAAGCAGAGTACAGGGCAATGTCATCTGTTTGTAGTGAAGTTGTTTGGCTTCAATCTTTATTTCAGGAGTTGGGTCATTCCTCTCCTACGCCCATTCCTCTGTATACGGATAACACTAGTGCTATTAAGATTGCCTCTGATCCTGTCTTTCATGAAAGGACAAAGCATATTGAGGTGGATTGCCACTTTATCCACGACTTGTTTCTTGCAAACTCTATCTCTCTCCCTCATGTTGCCTTTGATATGCAAGTTGCTGACATCTTCACAAAGGCCATGACGAGATCTAGACACTTATTTCTAGTAAGCAAACTGATGCTCATGCCTCTGCATCAGTTTGAGGGGGAGTGTGAAGAAACTCCCCGATGTACCATTTTATTGTAGTCCTTATTGTATTGTTTTCTCTTATTTATTATTATTTTCACTTCAGCCCTGCAAGGGCCTCTCTATAAATTCTCTAAATTGTGTTGCCCTACAAGGGCTTCTTTGTAATATCTTTAATTTTACTTTCTATCTAAAGGACCCTTGGGGTAGGGTCGAGTCATCCATTCTTCATCCCCAAAATTCTGTATTCTGCTCTAGGTCTATTGACACCTCCCAGGATCTTCAAACTCCTCACCTATATCACTACTCAACTTGTTATTTGGTTCCATTAGGTGTTTCAGCCGGTTTGGCACCTAACGATCCTCTCTCCTCCAAAAAATCAAGAACATATTTCCTCTAGCACAAATTAATACCATGCTTAGACCTTGCTACTTCTATCCCCAAGAAATATTTTAATTTACCAAGGTCCTTTGTTTGAAAGTGCTCCTGCAGAAAGCCTATCAATCCCTAATCTATCACTACCGGTAATGACAATATCATCTACATAGGGGTGAGCATTCGGTTTATTCGGTTAAAAACCGAACCGAATAAACCAAAATTTTTAAAACCGAAATAAAAAAAAAAATGAAAACCAAACCAAAACCGGATTACAATAAAAACGAAATAATCGAACCAAAATTTTCAGTTCGGTTTTTGGATATTTCGGTTAAAAATCGAATTTAATTAATATATATATAATATTATATTATAACCTATAATATATATATTATTATAATATATATTATGAAATTGAATTTCATTATAATACATTATATATTATATTAATAAATAAATATATAGCATATTATATATTAAATGTTATATATTATATATTATATATTACATATTATGTAATAAATAGTTAATTCGATTTTTTCGGTTAACCGAATTTCTAAATCTGAAAACCGAAACCGAAAACTGAAATTCCTAAAAACCGAATTAACCGAACCAAATTACCCAAAAACCGAAAAAACTGAAACCGAAATTTTCAATTCGGTATTTAGGTTTTAACCGAATATCACTCACCCCTACATCTACATATACCGCCAGTAAGATCTTCCCAGCATGTGGATCATAGCTGAATACGGAGTGATCAACCTGACATTGTTTCATACCAAACTTCTTTATTACTTCACTGAATCTACCAAACCATGCATGGGGGGACTGTTTAAGTCCATAAATGGCTTTCTTTAGTCTGCGCACCTTACCATGCTCCCCTTGAGCAACAAACCCCAGTGGTTGCTCCATATAGACCTCAAGGAGATCACCATGTAAAAAGGCATTCTTCATGTCAAGTTGAAATAGAGGCTAATCATACATAGCAGCTAGAGATATCAAAACACGAATGGAACCAATTTTAGCAACAGGAGAGAAGGTCTCCGTGTAATCAATACCATATGTTTGGGAATAGCCTTTGGCAACCAGTCGAGCTTTCAATCACTCTACACTACCATAAGGTAAATACTTAACAGTGTATGCCCACTTACAAACCACAGCATGCTTACCAAGAGGGAGTGTGGTGAGATCCCACGTGTGATTATGAGCCAAATCTAAGAGTTCTTCCATTGCATGGTGCCACCCTAGAGAGGCAAGGGCTTCTTGAACATCCATATGAACCAAAATAGAACCCCCGTCTTGAGATCCTAAAACACACAAGAAGAGGGATAAAAAGTTATGGAACAATTAAGTGACTTGGTTAATCTACTACCAAACATAAGGTTAAAGGGGAACTTGGGAACATATAAAATAGATGATAAAGACAAGGAGAGATCAACATCACCAACACCACAGATGGGAGATGTAGAACCATTAGCAAGAGTAACTGTTTGAGATGTGGAGGACGAGAAAGAGAAGAAAATACATTAGGAGTCCCAGACATATGGTCTGAGGCTCCGGAGTCAATGATCCAGTGTGAAGGCTTGGAAGCCAAGCAAGCCATACCTGAATGGGCAAGGGTAGTGGTGTTCTGTTGAGATGTCTGAAGGAACTGCTCATATACTACACGGGGTACACTCACCATCTCCTTCCCAGAAGCACTGGTAGATGTGGAGGGGATCGGGTCAATTTGCTGGCTTTCAGTAATTGTACCACTACCCTTAGTCATAGCATGGTTAGCCCAAGTATTGGGTGGACCACGTAAATCATAGCAGAAATTAACTCTGTGCCCCTCTAAACCACAGTGTGTACACTTCCTAGGGGCATTACTTCTTCCTTTACCACGACCTCCCCTGAGTCCCGACCTCCACTCCGGCCACCAGCACGGTTAAACATGGGACCACCACGGTTGCTTGGAAGTCCATGACCACCACCACCACCTCTATTTCCACGGCCTCCCCCTCTAGTCACCACAAAACCAGATTTGTGCAAGAGAGAAGAATGCTCTATAGACTCAATAGATGTCCTCCTAAGATGGGCAAAAACTTCTTCAAGCGAGGGAAGAGCAGACCCCCCCAGTATTTGTGCTCGGACAGGCTCATATTCAGCCTTCAAACCCACCAGAAACCTTGTCACATCAAGTTGCTCACGCTGTTGTTGTTGAATCTGAACATCCTGTGTCAGAGGATGATATACATTGAGCTCATTTCGGATATTCCTCAGACTTGCATTGTATTCCTCCAAGCTTTGACTGCCTTGCTTCAGATTAAAGTACTCTTGGTACAATTGATTCACCCTAGTTGTATTGTCTTGTCCGGAGTATAGTTTCTTAGCATGATCCYARATTTCTTTAGYTGTATCTAGGAACATAAAGTTCACACTAATTTTTGGTTCCATGCTATTCCACAGCCATGTCATTATTTGTGCATCTTCCTGTTCCCAATCACTAAACCCCGGAGAATCAGAGGAGGGTTTCTCCTCTCTCACATGTTTTACYTTTTTCTTGGCCTTTAAAAACACCTCCACAAATTTTGCCCACGGCACATAATTCTCACCATTCAACTTAATAGATGTCATTTGAACATTTAGGTAATCTGGAGAAATCATGACACATGTTTTATTATCATTCCCATCTCCAAACGATGTCATCTTAACTAATTCACCTTCAAATATTCAGCACAACTTACGCACTTCCACAAAGCTTATCTCACTTTCAGCACCACCAACTTCTTCAAATACACATTGCACATCAAATACAAAAGCTGAAATCACTCAGTCATTAAATCAAACACCTGTACTGCACACTGCAAAACCATTCACACACCAAATACAAGGGCTGAAGTCACTCTGTCATTAAATCAAACACTTGTACTGCACACTGCAGAACCATTCACACACTAGATACAAGGGTTCACTTTCAACTATTCAGAATCATCCACACACCATTCAACACAGTACAACTACCACCACACCACTGTTGTTGTGAACTTCAGCAGTTGAAACACCCTACTTTCAGCACATATATGAGGTAAAAACAGAGGAGAACAAGGCTGATGTGCATACTAGTCACTCCAAACCTCCACAAAAAATAATTTTGAACCAAAACACAGCACTTACAGTCCACTATTTGGGCAAAAAACAGAACTGTTCATACCTGTCCACAAACAGCCCTCTTCGTATCACAGAATAGAGGGCATCTAGTACACAACCTCAACAACCACCACCACAGTAACTGAAGGCATACTCACCTCCAGAACCACAAAACGACTACTCCTTTTGGGCCCCTTGTCGAGCTTCCACTTAGGCTAGCAGAAAATCGAAGAAGGCTGAAATGGTTGGCGGCGAACCCAGGAAGAAGACAAACAGTAAGGAAAGAAAAAAAAATGAAAAGAGAACTAGGTTTTATGGCTCTGATACCATGTAAAATACCTATACGATTCTAGGTTAAAGTAGAGAAGAAGAGAAAGAAGAAGAAGAGAAGAAGAGGAAGAAGAAGGAGAAGGGTTCGGCCAGACTGAGAAAATCAGTCCACCTCTAGCCGACTCACTTGTACTTATCTCAAATAATATAGTTACAAGAAAGACCATATTGTCCCTCATAAGTGATGGGACACAACTTAAACTTAAACAAAATAGACCTTTCACTCTCAAATAGATAAACCCAAATGACCAAAATACCCTTGATTTGTGTATTCTAACACATATCAAATATAAACTCATTTATACTAATATATTTTTCCTATGTATTTAAAGAGTGGCCACTATGTGTGAAAAATGCCAAAGGTTAGGCTTGTATCTACCCCTCCCAAGACCCTAGATGGATGGGACTGACAATAGGTAATGGCCTATCTACTTAAGACTGTCTTAGAATTGCACTAGAATGGTTAACCAATCTGGGTTTTGTTTGCTATAAATACCCATGGAATTGGTCAAGTGGTTTTTTGTCACAAATTTGTTGGGCATAAAAAACTTTACTGTTGGGGAACATGTTGAGGTTTAAATTATATAATTTATTGGGAAACTGCAATCTTGCTTTCTTGGTAACTACTTTTGGCTTCTTCCTTTTATTTATTTATTTTATATATTGCATGTTAGAATCTTCAATTTCCTCTTAACTTCAATTTTTCTGGTCTCTTAGTGAAGAGATGTCTTGCTTCATTTTCAGGGTTATGCGGCTGGCAGTGCCATCCCAAGTCCACAGAAGAATGTGGAGAAAGAGTTCTTGAAAAAATATTGGGCAAGATGGAAAGCAAGCCATACTGGTCGCTGGTATTGTATTTATTATCTGTTGTATTCACCCTTTATTGAAAAGAATTTTCTTTGTAAGGGTTCCCATTGAAATTTTGATAGCCAAAACCATGATCTGGGGGCTGATAACAATGTCAAAAACTGAAAATATGCATCATAGTTCAAACTTCAAAGAAAATACAGAAATGGAACACAATGTATATGACATATGAAATGAGTAATTAGATTGGGGAAGACGATACATGTGAAGATTATGAAATATAAAGATTGACCAATAAGCTTACAGCTCGTAATAGGTGACCCATATTCTTATCCTAAACTGACTTGAAAAGCAATTTGAACTGCTAAATTTGTCAGTAAGGCTCATTTAAAAGTGTGGTGATGTGTATGGAATGCAATTCCTGTTGCATGTTGCTCCACTTTCTGGTTAAACTGATATGGCAACAAAGTGCTTCATTGCAATGCCCACCTTGCAATTTCTTTTCAATTTTCTCATAGTTGGGGTAAGGCTTTGTTAAGTTGCAGGCACATTATTGTCCAATTTATCAAATTCTTGTGAAAATTTAATTGTTCTTTTTGGCCCTAACCATTTAAGCATTTTTGTGCAGCAGTTTATGGAGAATAATTTATTTCAATTGAATGAATGATACTACTATGTCAATGCATTAAAATTAGAATGAAAAATCATATTTATAGTGGGTCAAAGGTATAGTTTAGTTGGATTTGAAATTGTTGGAAAATCTGAATTTGGAAAATAAGATGGGATCTTGGCTCTAATTGTTCTGAAATATAAAGTAAATGGGGTGATTGAGGGTTTGGGTGTTTCTCACAAAAGGTAAAAGTAAAGAAAGCTTAAGTAGAGAATACTATACTGGAAAGAAAGATGAAGTAGAGGATACTATACTAGAATTAGCATCAGCCAACTTCGGGAGCCAGAACCTAGAGAATTGAAGGAACATTTCAAATGGAGTTATGCATTGGCACCAGACCAAAATAATGACAAGAAAAAATTCAATCCTCATAAACTCTCAAAAGAATTTCATGGGGGTAACAACCAAGTATCTACTTTCTTCAACACTAAAGCTAGATAAGACAATTCCTTTGACTTCTTTTTATAAAAGGTCAGATCTTTGTAAATCCAGAATTAATAAGTTTTCAGGGTTTGCTAGATGTTTTATAGAATCAAATTTTATGGATACTAGATTGGAAATGTGGTCCCATGATCTGGTAATCCAGGCAGAAAGTTTTTTCCCATTAGCAAACTAAAATGGTTTAAACTCCTGGGCCTTAGGCTCTATGATAGGACTTCTTGGCATATCTGCAGATACAAATCTTTGGTCTCAATTTTCCCATATTTTCCCCTATCAATTTAGTCAAGATTAAATTTAACTAACTGAAAACCATTTAAAAATGGCATCCCATTTGAGTAGGTCTTACTCTTAAGTTTTTAATGAGTGCAGTCTTAGCAACACTCTCATTGCATATTTTGACGTAGAACTAAAAGCATTGATTGTTTAAAAGATTCTTATGTTTATGAATGTGTTTTTATTCATTTGCTGTTAAATTGTTCCTTTTGCTCTGTTTGTTTGCACAGTAAATCCACTAGTACAAATGCATGGGAGTGCAAATTCTGGTTCCCTTTTGCTTCAAGGTTTACTTCCTTTGCACTGCAAATTACCAAAACAAAGTAAAACCTGAAACAAAAGTAAACCAGAATTTGCTCTCAACTCATTTGCATTTCCTTCTGCACCACTGCAAATGACCCAAACAAGTATTACTGCAGATGATCCTTACTTTTTTATTTATGTGATTTTCAGTCGTGCAATGCCACATATAAAGACATTCACACGGTATAATGGGCAAAACCTAGCGTAAGAACTAATCTTAGATCCATTAAGCATTTGTTGATGAATTTTGATATGCTAATCATCTTTCCAAGCAGTTTTTCCTCTTCTATATTCTTACTCAAATTTATGCTAGTTTTGGGGCTCTAATTCCACTTTTTGGAACAGTTGGTTCCTACTGACTTCAGCAAACCTCAGCAAAGCTGCTTGGGGTGCACTTCAGAAGAATAATTCCCAACTTATGATCCGTTCCTATGAAGTATGCTCCTCAGAATTATATATTTCCACGTTTAGTTTTTGTACATGTTTAGCCTCTTCTGTGTCAAATTTTGGTTTCGTCTCAATGTATGTTGTATGGTTATGTATTTGATTCCAAAATAATAGGGTTCAGTGTAGTTGAACACAATATAAACAACTGAATATGTTAGATTGTTGGGGTGTGCATTTTCAGTACCAACACTTTCTTTTCTATTTGTAAAGGAAAATAGTACAATACAAGAGAAAAGAATGAAAGGAAAGAAACATTCTTAACAAAACCTGAAAGAGACAAAGGATCCAAAAAAGGGCTAAGAAATAATTAAACACAACCCAAGCAATTACATCTAACTGAAGAAAACTTAAAATGGATTTAAATTTAGCTGCTATGTGCATGGCAGGGTGACATTGGCACACAATCCTAGGTGACTAGCTGCTTCAAGTTGTAAATGTGGTAAAAGCTTGAAGGTGCTTTAATTTTGCATTTCCACAAATTGAAAGAAACAATGCAGAGGAGAGGAGTAAGGATAGAAAACCATGGAAACAAAGGAGAATAGCAAGTAGTGTCACATTACGCAACCCACCTCAGAATTGGAGTCTTACCAGCCTAGAGGATGGGGATGATAGAGTTTCACTATCAAGGAGAAGATTCTCACTTTTCAAACAATAACAAAGTTCCAAAGTTCAAATTACCAAAGATTAGAAAGATCAAGGTTAAACTTCTGTTGAGTTGGTCCGAGTTGTTTTTTATTTAGTTAGGAAGTTGTTGGGCTTTAGGCYCATTAGTTTATGTTTTTTTAAGTTGTGACTGTTCAGCTATATTAGTAGCCGCCCTTGGGCATCCTTGTAATATCTCATCCTTTAAGTTAAGTATAAATATAATGAGAGGTAG